TCCATAGTTATACAAGGAAGGTGGGACATTTGTTAAGTGTGTTGAATAGGGGGTGGGCAACCAAAAAACATTTACTGAGCACTTTCACTCATAGCACTAGGATAGGCACCATGTAAGAAGATAAAAGAATTCACATATATTTAATTTAGTTTCACAGACTTTTTTTTTTTTTTTTTTTTTTTCAGTATGCGGGCCTCTCACTGTGGTGGCCCCTCCCGTTGCGGAGCACAGGCTCTGGACGCGCAGGCTCAGCGGCCATGGCTCAAGGGCCCAGCCACTCCGCAGCATGTGGGATCTTTCCGGACCGGGGCACGAACCCGTGTCCCCTGCATCGGCAGGCGGACTCTCAACCACTGCGCCACCAGGGAAGCCCCACAGACGTTTTTTAAACCTATCTAAAAAGTTCTTTTCTCACAACCCAAAGGCAAAAAAATAAAGATTAAAAAAAAAAGATGTTTCTGCTAGGGAACAATTTTTTATCTAAGAATTAACTTTGGAGGTTAGATAGAAATCAGATTTTTCTTCAATTCACAGAGAACTCAACAGGTAACTACAATAAAGATATAACCATTTCTCTTTTGCAGGTATATCAGAGGTCTACTCATAGGAAATCATGTACCACAGCAAAAAAGATTTACATGACATGTTTCTACTCTCACCTTGCCAGAATCCATTTATCAGCATATTTAAAAGGCATGAGAGGACTTCCGTGGTGGCGTAGTGGTTAAGAATCTGCCGGCCAACGCAGGGGACACGGGTTCGAGCCCTGGTCCGGGAAGATCCCACATGCCGTGAAGCAACTAAGCCCGTGTGCCATAACTACTGAGCCTGTGCTCTGGAGCCCACGAGCCACAACTACTGAAGCCCACTCACCACAACTACTGAAGCCCGCCCACCTAGAGCCCGCAAGAGAAGCAAGAGAAGCCACCGCAATGAGAAGCCCGTGCACCGCAACGAAGAGTAGCCCCCACTTGCTGCAACTAGAGAAAGACTGCGCGCTGCAACGAAGACCCAACGCAGCCAAAAATAAATAAATTAAATAAATTCATTTTTAAAAAAAAGCATGAGAGTTTATTACCCTATGGTAAAAGCATTAAAATGATTAACTCATGGCTCTTCACAGTAGTATTATACAACCGCCTAACATTTAATCCAATTTAGCCTTGAATGCTGTCTCTTAATACCCATAATGATATTTAAAATACGTTCCCAAAGAAAGATTCTGCATATCAATTCCTTTTCCTGACACAAAGGGCACCCTCAGAAGCTGGAAAACAAGATGATAACCACAGATTCCTAGTTATAATTACCAAAGTGTATAAATAAGGAAAAATGGGAAAAAGAAATTTTTAAAATAGTCAAATTATTGTTAAGCTTTGAGAGTTAATAACATTTTGTTAACATTACCACAGAAACTAATTTGCTAATGTACCTTAAGAAGATGCCATATTTAGGACTTCCCTGGTGGTCCAGTGGCTAAGACTCCACGCTCCCAATGCAGGGGGCCTGGGTTCGATCCCTGATTAGGGAACTAGATCCTGCATGCCACAACTAAAAGATCCCACATGCCGCAACTAAAAGATTCCACATGTTGCAACTAAGACCTGGCACAATCAAATAAATAAATAAATAAACATTAAAAAAAAAAGAGATGCCATATTTTATTATGGAGAAAAATTTATCGCCACAAAGATTAATAAATGCCAAGGAGTAGTGATTTATTACACAAAAGCTGATGCAACCTTAACTGGAGATAAGTAACAACCACGCATTAACTCCTAAGAGGTGCAAACCTCCAAATCTGGCAGCACGGCCACAAAATTAAGAAGATATACTTCTCATGTTTTACAGCCAAGGTAATATATACTATTTAATGTCAAGCATGAACTTAAGAACAAATTTAGGGCTTTATTTTTACTATTTTATGATCCTCGGAAAAAGGGATTTGGAGGAAAAGTTAGGCCTTATAGAACTCTACTAGATAGAAAGAACAGCCTTCAAAAAGTTCTGGTGATTACCTCAGAGGACTATAGTTGCTTTGGCAAGAGGAAAACTTCCAGGCTAAATTCTATAAACTAGAGTGTTCATGACTTGCAAACTGCCATATTTGGTCAGACTTTGCACATGAAGAGAAACAAGGCAGTTAGGGGCCAACAAAAGTTGTTATAAGTTTAAGTGTCTATCCAGTATTGCTTTGACTTACAATTCTTCTAAAGAATAAGGATCTCAGGGTCAACACAAAACTGGAGAGGGTCGGGGGAGACCAGGCAATCATTTTATGCCAAAAGAAACAGCTGTTAAATTAGTATGTTTTATCATGTATACCCATGGACAGCCAAATCCTTGGCCTTGGATTTTCTTTCTTTAGAACCTAACCACGGAAAATCAATAAAACAAGGCAGTTACATACAAAGCACACAAATGTCATGCCAAACTCTGCTTTATGTACACTGGTTAAATTAGCACTTTTTTAACCTTGGAGTTCTATCTCCAAGAAAGATTATTTAACAGTTTTATATTCATTCATTTCACATGCTTGAAAAGTGTGATATCTGATTATATTGACAACTACAAAGATAACACTTGGGCAGCATATGCTAGAACCTCAGCACATCAGTATCTATAAAGACACTCAACAGTAGAACTGATATAAGCAGTTAAAATAATCACTGTGAAATGGTGAGACCTTCAAAGTAGGCTTCACTTAAGCTGGAAACACTTTAGCTGGAAACATGCTCAACAAAAGATAATGACTTCTTTAAAAGAATCTGGGCTGTAAAGTTTAGCTGGAAATATACTCAGTAGTAGAAAATGACTTCGTTAAAGAATCTAGGCTATGGGACTTCCCTGGTGGCACAGTGGTTAAGAATCCACCTGCCAATGCAGGGAACACGTGTTCATGCCCTGGTTCAGGCAGATCCCACATGCTGAGGAGCAACTAAGCCCGTGCGCCACAACTACTGAGCCTGCGATCCACAACTACTGAGCCCATGTGCCACAACTGCTGAAGCCCGTTCTCCACAACAAAAGAAGCCACCGCAATGTGAAGCCTACACACTGCAACTAGAGAAAGCCCGCACGCAGCAACGAAGACCCAACGCAACCAAAAATAAATAAAAATAAATTTATTTTTTAAAAAAAGAATGTAGGCTGTAAAGTTGAGATATGTTTACGAAAAACCATGTCCCCTCATGTAGATAATGTGAATACACTTTTTCCAATATGCAGTAGAAAAGATAGGAAACAGGTGCCTTCACTTTTACAGTCCCACTAGACTACCATTTTATCCAGGTTAAGCACCTGTAAACTGCTAATAAAACACTATGCCAAAATCAACTATACCTCAATAAAAAATTTTTTAAAAATAAAAAACAAAAAAAACCCCACTATGCCAAAGAATGCCAAAATGTATACAGCTGATAGGTTAACTATCCAAATATATACCTTAATACCGATGAGCTGTTAATTAACTGTAAAATGAGTTATAAAACTGAAATGAAAAGTGTACCACAACATAGCAATAGCTCAATTTTAACTACAAAGTTGAGTTGATAAAACTATATGTGAATCTTAAATGTTACCAATAAATACAGATCAATCATGGATTCAAATTTCATTAATGGAAACGGAGGTCTACGAAGGAAGATTATAAAGAACTCTGCCCCTTATTCACTTTCAGTTTTTATAAGTAAATTCGAACAAAAGCCTTAAATATATATTAAAATAGCACCTTATACACGCTAGAATTAAGGCCAGCAGGTCCTTCGTTAAAAAAAAAAAAAAAAATTGAATGTGCACTCCCTTGGCACCTAAGCTTTTTTTCAACTTTCCAAACATCAGTTTTACGTGGAAACTCAGTTCAATTTACTCTCTTTGGTTTTTTCTCTTCCTAAATAAACAACGCAGCTGGAAACAGACACACTCGCAACTTACTACACCAGTCACATGTATGTGAATACAGGTATTTACCTGAATGAACATATCAAATGAATTGTGAAACCCGTCTCTGGCAGTTTTCTTTTTCCACTGACAAACAAAAAAGCCAAAAGATCTCCAATTCAAGCTGGAACAAGATTTAAACTCACGGAGCACTTGTAGCGTGAGCACCAGCAGCATGATCACTTATCACTTAACACGGTCTGCTAGGACTTTTATTCCAAGATAAAGTATGGAGACGACTTTAAAGCAGGTGCATATGATTACAATAAAGTATGGAGCTGACTTTAAAGCAGGTGCATATGATTACAATCCGAATGTTAGAAGAGAAGGAACACCAAAGTACTACCAGGTGATGGACAGAGAACTCCTGGAAGTCTGGGGTTATCCTCGGGCTTTGTTGAACACCTAAAGCCCTGAAGGTTGCTGGTAATCAAAATACAGCAATGAGGTATCGGGGGCAGATACTTAAAGTATCTGGGGAGAGGGGAATACCGGGGACACTTCGATTGCAGGCGGGGAAAACGAGACAGAAACGTCAACACGAGATGGCAGACCGACACTAGCATAAAGCAAGCCTTTCAAATTAGGCGCAGCGCAGGAAGCTAGCCTGAGGCCGAAGCCAGCCTAAGTCACAGGTACAGGCCCAGCGGGCAATGGGGAGAAACTGAGGCGGAGGGAGCCGCCAGATTCCCAAATAGGACCTGTCCCCAGACGTGTAAGTCAAGAGACAAACCGGCTTTGCTGGGGGGCGAGAGGGACGGCCGCAAGTGAAGGACTGGGAAGACTCACACCCACCCAGACAGGGGGAACCGGTTTGGGCAGGGGCTGCCGGAGCGTTCCCGCTTGCGCATGCGTCCTCCCCCCACGGCCGCGACTCCCCCTCCCCCCCAATCACTGCTCCCCTCACAACCCGGCTAGTCGAGGGAGCTGAGCGCAGTCACGCCTGCCCCACTCCGCGGGATGAGAACACGGCTTGGCCTCCCGCAGGGGCCGTCGGAGGATCCCCCCCGGGCTTGGTGGATGGAAGGGTGGGAGGAGGAGGGGGGGGAACACGGCCCTACCCGACCCGCCGTCTCCTTCTCCGCGGCCCGCCGTTCGCCGTCCCGGAGGCTCCGCCGCCTGGGCCTCCCCAGCCGCCCTGCCCCCGCCCTCCCCGCCCCCTACTCACGTGAGAGAGGCTCCTTCCGCCCTCCGCCCCGCCTACTGCCCTGTCTCATAGGCCCACGGCAAAGCCGAGCGGCCCCATTGGCCCAACAACAGGCGGCGGGGGCGTACTTCCTTTCCTCGAAGCCCCACCTGGGCTTTTAGCCCGCCTCCGGAGTCTGCGTCTGCGTGGAGTCTGCACTCTGGGAGCAGGACTCAATGCCGTGCTGTGTCCGCGCTTGGGCCGATAGCGGCTCTGTGCCTGCATCACGGACTGGAAGCAGGATTGGCGGGGGTAGCAGTCTGGGTAGTACCTGTTGCGCCTGAGAGGGGTACAACCCTAAAGACACTGGTGCTAGAGCACGGAATCCCTTGCTCACCTTTAACGTTCAAATGCTGTTTCTAAAGCAGCCCTTAATGATGTAACCCAACTCACCTGCCCTTTATTGAGGGCGCAAAAAGTGCCAGGGATTGTGATAGATTCTTTTGTGATAGGTTCTTTTACAGGTATGTCACTTGGCTTTACCACAAACCTTGAGAAAGCATTGAGAATGATATGATTTTTTTTTTCTCATTTTGTAAGGGAGTCCAGCCTAAGCAACAGAATTCAGTCCAGAAGTCAAAACTTCTGACTTTGAAGTCAAGGGCGACTGGCTACAACACAGCTACCTCGAGGTATCTGAGACACACAGAATAGAACAGAAATGAACAAGGTGGTTTCATACTGCTACTCAAAGATGGGGCTGGGATTTTATTTAAAAATTATTCGAAAGTGATATACAGAGCAACGGCAATAGAATGAATTTTAAAGTCCCTGTCCTGAATGAATTTACAATGTAGTTGGAAACAAATATTAAAGGTGCTAATTAAGTCTTGACAATTTATGAAATCTCTCCAGCCTCTCCCTCATTCTTTCTTTATTCAAATAGCATATGCTGTTTTCCTGGTAAATGAGTCATTCGCAAAGTTTTCCTGTGGATATTGCATCTAAATCCACCAGAGAAAAAGCAAAAAAAAAGCTGTGCTCTGTTGCAGTCCTCTTTGTGACTTGTCTATTATAATAGACTTGGCTGCACTCCCGCAGGAAAATAGCTTTCTTCCTTTTCTCCTCATAGAGTTATGTAACAAAAATGCACACCCATTTTAAAGTATTTAAACAACAGATGAAACATTAGGAAGAAAGTAAAATCCCCTGAAATCCTGGCACTCTTGACAAAACCACTTTTAATAGTGTGGTGACCATACATTCATGTATTTCTTGATTCATATGTATTACCCCAATATATACATAAATCTTAACATATATTTTTTAAATAAAATTTTATTACAGAATCACTACAGTATGCCCTGGAGAAAAATATAAAATAGGGACAACCTAAAATAAAAAACAAAAACATCACATTCCCAATACAAATATTAATACTTTAATATGTAGCCTTCTTTGTGTGTCTATATATTGTTTTACAAAATGAGATCACACAGTTAAGCAGTCTGCTTTATTCAATTAACAATATCTACCTTACCATTTCACTAAATTTTGCTCTCATCTAATTCCTAGATCGCATTCAAATTTTCTAACAACCTAAAAATATTTTTACAGCTGGCTTTTCCAAATCAGTAATATCATTTCAGTAAATTTTCCTCTCATCTAATACCTAACTATAATCAAATTCTCTGTTGCCCCAAATATATTTTTTTACAGCTAGTTTTCCCAAATCAGCATCCAATCCAGGCCCACATGTTGTATCTGGTTGTGATGTCCCTTAAGTATTTTTAAATCTAGCACATAAGAAAAAAAATGGAAAGACACTGGCCTATTGAAGAAATTGGTCCAGTTGAAGTGCAAAATTTCCCACCTTCTGGATCTGAATGGTTGCTTCCTCAAGAAGTCACTGAATTTGTTCCCTTAGACCTTGTATATCCTGGAAACTGGAATTTATATCTCAAGCTCAATGGATTGATGTGGTAAGCTGGAGGCAGAATGGGAAGGTCCTTGAATACTTAAATGAGGAAAATGAAGTTCAATCTATAAATACTGGGAGCCCTTAGAGGTTTCTAAGGATAGTGCCAATATCAGATTTGAGTTTTTTAAAAATTTCATTCTGGTGGGAGTAGAAAAGGGAAAACAGGGAGTAAATAGAACACTTTGGAGGCTGCCTAAGTTCAGAAAGGCCTGAACTAGGGCAAAAGAAAGGGTGGGAAAAAGGGTGGGTTTGAAAGAAATACCTTCAAGTTTGTTGATTCTTTCTTCTGCCTGCTCAAATCTGATTTTGAACCCAAGTGAACTTTTTTCTCTCTATTATTATATTTTCAACTCCAGAATTCCACTTAAGTTCCTTTTTATAATTTCTATTTCTTTAATGATATTCCCATTTTTCTGTACATTTTCCAGACTTCATCCATGTTTCATTTTAGCTCAATGAGCAACTTTAAGACAGTTTTAAAGTCTTTGTCTAAATGCCATATGATATCACTTATATGTGGAATCTCAAATATGACACAAATGAACTTATTTATGAAACAGAAACAGACTCACAGACATAGAAAAAACTTATGGTTATCAAAGGGGCAAAAGGGTGGGGGAGGGATAAATTAGGAGTTTGGGATTAACAGATACAAACTACTACATATAAAATAGATAAACAACGAGGTCCTACTGTATAGCACAGGGAACTATGTTCAATATCCTGTAATAAACCATAATGAAAAAATATATATATATACATATATAAAAATTGAATCACTTTACTGTACACCTGAAACTAACACAACATTATAAATCAACTATACTTCAATAAAAATAAAATACAGAACTCTTGTATTTGGAGAACAAGGTTCTTATTTCCCACCCTGGCTCCAGCAAGCCATACCAGGAATATAAACATGACTGCCTCCACAGGGTTGAGGAGTAGGAATGAGTAGGTGCTATCACACTAAAGGCTCACATTGACTGAAATTAACCTCAATTGACCAACCAAATTTTCCCCTGGAACATGCAAGCATTCAAATAGACTCCAGAGTTCCAAAACAGTTACTTCAGTTTCTGCCAGTACGATTGTTGGGTAGAGAGATGGATTCCATGTCCTTCCTACTCCGTCTGAGGAACAGAAAAAGAAAGAAATGTGAAAGTGAACAGAGCCTAAAGGATCTGTAGGACACTGTCAAGAGAAACAACATACCACTGTAAGCATCCCAAGAGGAGAAGAGAGAGAGAAAGGGGAGAAAGGATAATAATCTAACTGTAGAAAACCAAAGAAAAGAGAGAATCCGAAAGGCAACAAGAGAGAATACTCATCACATATAAGGGATCTTCAATAAGATTATCAGACAATTTCTCATCTTAAACCTTAGAGTCTGGAAGACAGTAGGTTGATAATATTCAAAGCAGTGAAAGAAAAGGACTGTTGACAGATCTGTATCTAGCAAAATTGTCCTTCAAAAATGAGGGAGAGGGCTTCCCTGGTGGCACAGTGGTTGGGAGTCCGCCTGCCGATGCAGGGGACACGGGTTCGTGCCCCGGTCCGGGAAGATCCCACATGCCGCGGAGCGGCTGGGCCCGTGAGCCATGGCCGCTGAGCCTGCACGTCCGGAGCCTGTGCTCCGCAACGGGAGAGGCCACGACAGTGAGAGGCCCGCGTACCACAAAAAAAAAAAAAAAAATGAGGGAGAAATTAAGACATTCTCTGATTTTAAAAAAAGCTAAGGGAGTTCATTACCACTAAAACCACCCTTCAGGAAATGCTGATGGGAATCCTTCACATTGAAATGAAAGGATGCTCAACAATATTTAAAGCCATATGAAGAAATAAAGATCTCCGGTAAAGATAAATATATGGGCAATTATAATTGTAATTATTGTTTAACTCCATTTTTATTTTCTACATGATTTAAAAGACAAATGCATAAAAATATTAGTCTAATTTATTACAAACACAATGTATAAAGATGTAATCTGTAGCATCAAGAACAGAAAGAGGAGACAGAGCTGTATAGGAGAGTTTTTGTATGCTACTAAAGTTGGTATCAATTTAATTATATTGTTATAAATTTGGGCTGTTAAATGTAATTCCTATAGCAACCACAAAGGAAATGTCCATAGGATATACAAAGAAGGAAATCAGAAATAAATCAAAACTTTTCACTACAAAAAATCAAACACAGAAAAAGGCAGTAATGGAAGAAATGAAAGACACAAAAGCTATAAGGCCTATAGAAGACAAATAGCAAAATGGCAGAAATAAGTCCCTCCTTATCCGTAGTTACTTTAAATGTAAATGGCATAAACTCACCAATCAAAAGACAGAGATGGGCAGAATGGATAAAACAAAAACAAAAACATGATCCATCTATATGCAGTCTAGAAAATACTCACTTTAGAGCCAAAGATATTAACAAGTTAAAAGTGGAAAAAAAAGAAAAGAGAAGATATTCCATGCGAGTACTAACCAAAAGGGAGCTGGGAAGGTTATACTAAGGTCATACAAAATGACTTTAAAAAGGTTACACGAGACAAAGAAGGTCATTATATATTAATAAAAGGTTCAAAAGAGCAAGATTATATAAAAATTATAAACATTTACATAACTAGAAGAGACTTTCAAAATATATGAAGCAAAAATAACCAGAATTAAAGGGAGGAATAAACAATTCTACAATAATAATTAGAAACTTCAACAGCCCACATTCAATAATGAATAGAACAACCAGATAAAGATAAGTTAGGCATTAGAGGACTTGAACATCACAATAAACCAACTGAACCTAACAGAAGTGTACAGAACATTCCATTGAACAACAGCAGAATACACATTCTTTTCAAGTTCACATGGGACATTCTCCAGGACAGGCCATACATTAGGCCATAAAACAAGTGTCAATAGATTTTAAAAGATAGGTATTATACAAAGTATCTTCTCCAACTACAATGGGATGAAGTTAGAAATCAGTAACAGAAGGAAAACTGGAAAATTCAAAATATGTGGAAATTAGAAACACATTCTTAA